CGACTTCAGCGTAATATCTAATTATTAATACTTGTAGACGCTATCACGCTATCACCCGAGGCTAAATGATTGTAGGCTTTACTCATAGCATAATTTAAATCAGTAGGCTATGTTTAAAACTATAGTTGTCAGAGTTTTGAACCCAAAAGGTGACAATGGTACAATGGTACTAATCCTCGGATGTACGTTCGTCTATAACCAGGATTCATCACAATAATTAAATGTCATGTTGAAAATTGATTGCTGTGATTTTCACAGTGTATTTCTCTGTCTGTTGTCGCTTTGATGACAAATATGCTCAGCGCATACAAAAAGTGCTTTGTGATTTTTTTCGCGACGTATGCTACCGCTAGGTTTCAATCCAGTTACAGTGTCTTCAGATTACTGTATTGTATGTGCACTGTGTTAGAAAATTGTTATACTGAATGTGAATACGTGGGCGAAAGTGTAATCTTCGGTTAAAGAAATAGGTTTTATGTCTTTATTTTTGCGTTTTTTTAAAGACATCCGCTGTATTTCAAGTTAAGTGATAAAATCGATTATTGTAAATTACTTCGTCTGTTTTGTTTGTAAATTCTTCAGTTCAGTAGTCACATAGTAGACCTGGAGATCGTTTTTTGATAATCCCACAGGAACTTTGTACTTGTGATTGATAAACAGTATTTTATGTCTCAATTCAGGTAATAGCAATACACTGGACAGCAAATAAAACGGGACACTTGTTACCTCGGAACTCTGATTTGATTTTCTCAAAAAGTATAATACTTACAATTATCAAAGTTACACGTATAGAAAGTGCATTTCGTGATGATTAAAATGAATAGGACTTTATGTAGATTAATCTTTTTTTTTCAGTTTTTATTAAGAGTTTTCCAAACAAGGTTCGTTTTCAAATTGTGTTAATCGGTAGTAAAACGTAGCAAGAAAACACACGTCTAAGTAAACTATGGCCAAAAACTGAAGTTACGATAACAAGTTTAAAGACTACGTCACGTCATAATAAATATTAGACTTTTTGCATTTATTAAAAAAATAAGTTAATAGCAACTTTATTCATAAATTAAGCAATTTGGAGCATCGTGTTTATGGCTTGATTACACAGTAAGTTGACAAGCCTTTACAATAAAATTTAACCCATTTTAATAATTATGAAATGCACTTTCTGTAGGTATAACTTTGACTGTTGCAAGTTTTATAATTTTGGAGGGAATCGATCGTTGCTAGCGGGAGAGCCGTTTTCTTTGCGGTCGAGTGTTGTTTACTCCAAATAGCTTTGAAAATACATAAGCAAGCTCTATGAATTAAAAAGTATCTGAAAGAAGATTTGATTACTCATAAATTAAAACAAAGTACTGACATGATGCTTAATATCCATTTAGGTATATATACAATATATGACATTGCTGTTTTCAAAATAACACTTTATTTTTGCGGGCGAGTGTGTTAGTATCCTTTATCATAATCCATTTTTCGTAGTTGAGAAACAAACATGCAAACTATTTTTTATTTAAGAAGGATTTCGATAGTAATAATATTAAATCATAGTAAGAAATCACGATATTATCACATAAAAGCTGTACTAAGATTAGTAACTTCCTCGATGTAAGTGCATTCGATAAAACGACCCCACATAAATCAACAACTTTCAACCATGCACTCTACTCGGGCCAAGTTTTTACGACGTTGCATGATCCTCTACATCTAAAAGTTGCCAGTTTCCAAACTTTAAATCGAGTCAATGGTATCCTTCCGACGAGTTTGTTTCAGCCTACTGCAGTAATCTAAGTTTGCACACTAACTCGTTTGAAGTTTGTCTGGAAAATGCTTACTTAATAGAGTTATAGGTAGTAGTGCTAGTAGACATGCAATGCTCAGGAAACAGACTTTCAATAAGTTTGATATCAGTTTATAACGCGATATAGTTTGCTAATATACTATTACAAGGGAGGAGCTCGATGGCGCTGATGGTTAGCGCTTTCGACGGCGATCGTTGAAGTTAAGTAACTTTCGCAATGGTCGGTCATTGGATGGGTGACCAAAAATCTTCTATCTCGAGTTCCTCCGTGCTTCGGAAGGCACTTTAAGCTGTTGGTTGCGGCTGCATCTGCAGTCGTTAGCTCCCGCCAATCCGCACTGGGTCCGCGTGGTGGGTCCAATCGCCCTATTACACCCATAGGGAAGGCCTATGCCCCAGCAGTAGGAACTTTAATAGGCTGATGATGAGGATGATGATGAGATGACACTATTACAAACAATGTCAATCTAGAAAGAAGCGCACTTTTATAAAGTAATGAAATATACTATCTGATATTCTATTTTTAATTCACTTTGTTTCAAAATCTATTCAACAATGAATAGTGAAATTTCAATGGCGTTCCCAAACAAATGGAACCATTTAAAAGAACAATAACAAAACAGCACAGACTGGCAACTTTACTTGTAGGTTTCACTGCGGGATTAAAATAAAAAACAATCGGGTTTAGGAACACATATACAAAGTAACAAACCCGGCAACAGTCCTTTTTATATCAGTGACGTTAAGTTGCCGATATCAGCAACCTGCAATCGCAGACCGTGTAACTCTTCATCTGCAATTTTGCGTCGTGTTCATTTTGTGATCGGTGAACAGTTGCTTGCACTTTACTTTTTGGAATTTTCAAGGAACATGGCCAATCGTCATATACGTTTGCTTTAATAGGAGTAATGCTTAGTTTATCACATTTAGATCATTGGAGATGGGGATTAGATTAAGACTTGGAAAGAAAAACACTGCTAAATAGTATAATTCGGCTACAGTCTTCTGTAAGATAAAGGTTTTTTTCCTCACATAGTCCGCAGTCAGTGGACTAAATACAGCATAACACAGTACGGCATAACTTGATGTTGATTGAAAGAAAGAATGAATTATGAAAGACGTTGATTGGTTACCCTATTTTTCATATAGAAACCTAAAAAGTTGCCAGTCGCTGCAACAAAAGTTGCTGTGTCTACACATCATTCGAGTCTCTTCATTAAAAAGCATTGTTCTTTAGACCCAACAAAGGCCTGTTCGTTCCTCCTCCTATAAAGATAAAATCGGTTAATTTGAAAGCATTAAAATCAATAGGTAATTCCGTCGATAAGAAACGCTGACATTCAACCTGTAAGGTTGTCCTGACCTCTGCGATCTCTTCGGTAGTAAATAAGTGTAATTAAAGCTACAAGACGGAGATCATTTCAGTGATTTCTTTGGTGATCACTTATTCGAACTTATTGTTTTGATTGCAATCAATTAATTTGTTGTTCAATTGTATATTTTATCTAATCTTCGTTACCTTCAATTTAAGATTATCCGGAAGGAAAAGGTTCTATCTTACATTATTAGAAATTATCATTCTCGTGAAAAACTCATGACCCTGCGTACTTTCCAGGTGATATAGCTGTCTTATTGTCAGATTTGGAAACATCACATGTTATAGCGATAGAAGGGCGTTTGTTTACAAGACATTTTCTACCCGGGCCGGTGCCGGGTAAGCTTGTTCACGAACACGGTTCGTTCGTTTGTAACGACCCCAACGGTTTTTAACCATGCCTAGACCAGAGCTGATATCGTCTTGTTAACAAACGCCCTTATAATACGCATTCACCGGTTATAAAACTTGATAAAATCTTCTTGCATCAGTAGTAAATAAAATAAAAAACTAACTTCAGCAACGGGCTTAGAAATGGGGGGAGGATCAAAATTCGCATACTTACGCGTAGTACTAACTATATTTTTCGCATAACCGCAAAAATCCTGATGCATTATTTGTTATCACCAGCAGCTCAGCCAGCCAACATTTACATAAACGAACTCAAAATAACGGCCCGAAGACAGGTTAATTCGCAAACAAACGCAAGACCGGTTCCGCTATATAGGCACCCGTTAATTTTGACCGAGACTCTGCCACTCTGATATAATTGTTGTAATGTTTGTTGTTACCGTAACGCTACCTCCTTAGATAAATTATGAATGGGCGCGTTTAGTTTTTACCCGACTGCCAAAGAGGGAGGGTAATGTTTAGGGAGTGTATGTAAGTATGTATGTATGTCTGTTCCTTTGTGACCTCCTGTAGCCTAAACGGCTTGATGGATTTTGATGTATGAGGTATCGTTAGATTTGTCTTGATTACGGGAGTGTCATAGGATACATTTTATCCTAAAAGTCCCACGGGATAAAGACATAATAATATTTTTTCTAAATTTCCCTTTAAAAAAATATGTATGCGGTATCATTAGATTCATTTTTAGACTGTCTTAAGGTACTTAATAATTCCCGCGATATTAATTCCCTTACTGAAGTAACAAGACTACGGTATATACCGTCTTAAAATACTAACTAACTAAAAAGTGTGAAATAAAAAAGGTAAATTTAAAAAATCAAAAAACCCGACTGCTTAATTATACTTCAAATAAAAACTGAAAAGAAAAAAACAAGTCCAGTAGTCTATAATTCTGTTAATAAGGAACAAAGCTACTTTAACAGTCGGGACCCACTGTTGAAAAATATTATGTATTCTTGAATATCTAATGGGTCCCGACTGTTAAAGTAGCTTTGTTCCTTATTAACAGAATTATAGACTACTGGACTTGTTTTTTTCTTTTCAGTTTTTATTTGAAGTATAATTAAGCAGTCGGGTTTTTTGATTTTTTAAATTTACCTTTTTTTTATCTTTGATATTTGAATGCTGAGAAATAAACTCCGTTTTGATAGACGATCAAAGTTACTCGGCTGTCAAGAACTCGCGTCTATCCTACAGCGGATTGTAGACAACCTTTTTCGAGCTTCAATAGAGGAAAAAAACAGCGGCTTCGTAATTAAATGCTGACAGGAACAGTTACTTAATGTTAAATTATGAAATACATTATTGAATAAAGAAAAAAAATATCTGTTACCTATAAGATTACAAAAAAGGTAACATCGATATTCGCAGAGGTATTTTTGTACTAGCTTTTTTAAACCTATTTTTTTTTTGTTACAGGTATCTACAGAGTTTAGGCATCGCAAAAGGTGTACCGAAAAGAAATCTCGTTTACGAAATGCTTTCATCAGGTGAACGAACGAATAATAAAAGAGTTTAATGTTGCCACCACATCACGCGTGGGACATGAAATATTGTGTCTAAACGCCATATGTGCTAGACACAAACAGCTTTCATTTCTTTGACGCATAAAAATTTCTATAAAGGTGTAAATGTATGAATTGAATAAATAAAGACTTTTATAATCCTTGAAGAAAAAAAATAGAATGTGTTTTGGCGGAGTTTTTAAAGAGATTTGATCACATTTCCTTGAGTCGCATCACTTATGGGTGTTATAATATTATAATGTTTTCATTCACAAAGCAACTTCTTGATTATTTTTTTGAAAAATTACTGGTTTCGGCAAACCTACAATTTGTTAACGTAACGTATTTTTCTAAGATATAAATCTTAATTGTACCTTACTGTGTTTCATTACAAAAGCTCGAGATCTAAGCAACGTACAATTTATCATTCGCCATTGCCATCTGAACAAATTAAATAATAAATGTTTGAAAATTATAATAGCAGTAACTCATTTTTGATTTCTTAATATCGCAACATAACAAATAATAATTTGTTCAACACAATAGTTCGTGTATTCTAAGATTATCGCTTAGCGAAATATCGCAATAGATTAGGCAAACCGACGAAAACGAGAACTTGCGAGAACGTCAACTGTCATTGTTTGCGGAAATTTCCAACAATGGTTTATTTCAAAACTGAGCCGTGACACGATAATAATATTTTTAATCGTCATACGCAACTGTGAATTATGTGGTTACTGATATAGTGGTACTTAGCACAAGGGATTATGACACTTCCGCTCAAAGCGGAACGGGCGATAAAAGACAACAGCTTGTTATCGAGAAGTCGACGACGATAGGATATGCGATAGTATCGTATCGATAATAGGATATTATATAAATTTCTAGTAGAGGAGCTCAATGGCGCAATCCCCTCAGGTTCCAGTGGTCTAGAGGCTCCAGACGGAGAGAAGACCCCCCCCCCCCCTAGGGGGGAAATGCCATCCGCTTAGAATACCTCTAGGCACTCGCCAATTCTCGGCTTGAGGCTTTACAGCGTCACTGGGTTTGGGTTTGGGGAGAGCCCTTAGGATCTCGCCGTCCCCAAACCCAGTGACGCTGTAAAGGTCATCTGCGACCAACAGCATACACACCCAAAAAAAATCGATGGCCCAAGTGACTGACGCGTTCGGCTGCGATCGTTGAAGTTAGTCAACTTCGGTCGGTCGTTCGATGGGTGACTAAATTGACTATCTCGAGCTCATCCGTGCTTCGGAATGTTAAGGCATTGGCCCCGGCTGCATCTGTAGTTGTTAGTACCCACCAATCCGCCCTGAGCCGCGTGGTGGGTTATGGGCCTATCTTCCTATTCTATCGAATGGGGAGGCCTGTGCCCTAGCTGTGAGGACATTAATAAGCTGATGATGATGATAATGATTTTCTTTAGAATCGTAGAGTTTCATGGCTCAGTACTTGGTCAAAGTTGAAGTACAGTCTGCGTTACAGTACAGGATATGGACCTCCCAATGAAATATCCCACTGGGTAGGGTATACTAAAAAGTATTTATCCCGAGCTGGAGCAGCGTTTCAGAAAGAGGAAAATATTTCAAAAATAAAATAACCTAAAAAGTTATATTTTAAGATCTAGGGTAGATATAGTGTGGATGTGCGACCACCTCATTTCTTCCATTCCCAGTTTTGTGACAGAAAAAAGATTATTGTTAATCAAATATTGTTTTTAAAATGACTGGAATTATAAATAGAACTAGGAAGAACTTTAATGAGTACTAGTTAGGTAGCTAAACACCAAGCATTCTGAAAAGTTCAAAGGCTATGCGTGTTACGTGTTCGAGTCGAGGTGTTTAGGTAACATCCACGGCAATTTTTCCAACTAGGTACCGTTATTTCAGTTACTGACAATACGAGTACATTCGCACGAGGTTAGACGGAGTGATGTGCGTTTACAATAGCAACTGTTCTCATGGCTGCTTTTAACCATAGAGTTATGAATCACACTAATATTATAAAGGCGAAAGTTTGTGAGTGTGTATGTGTGTTACTTCTTCACGTCTAAACGGCTGGAGCGATTTGAATAAAATTTGGAACGTTACGCTACGTTTTACTACGGGAAAATATCCCTAATATACCGCGGGGCACAGCTAGTTGACTAAATAATACAAAATTTCATCTCAATCGGTCAAGGATGACTGTTTTAGAATACATGCGCAGGATTTACACAGACATAAATTGCAAATTAAATAAATGGTTTTTCAAATAAAACCGTTTTCCGTTCTTAAGTGCATTGATAAGTGCACTCTCCTTTAATTACGGAACTGACTTTGATTCAGTTTTTCACCATCAGTTATATAAATATTTTCAAAGAAGGTATGTGTATAGTGACAGTGGTACTACTAACTATTATGTGTATGCTGTTCATATTTTTGGGATATTAAGGTTTCATTCGCCCGTTATAAATACTGCTAAAAAGAAGTATCTACTGAACGTGCACAATAACAACATTTTTGGATAAAGTGTAATTTTGATTAGCCCAAGAAAAATCTAGTTTTCAACGTAGCGAAGACAGAGCAGGTCATTCGCCAAACAATAATAATAATAGTTTGAAGATCAAACCAAAATTTATTTTTACTACAATATTCTGGTATAATTATCTTTAACTATAAAAATTAAATAACAAATAATCATCTGAATAGAATAACTTAAATATTTCTTAGAATATAATTATAACTTGAACGTAATAACACTTTATAAAAGAAGCATAATTTGTAGATGTTCCAGCTATTTAAATGACATTTCGTAACTTTTATAGGTCTATGCAACTAAGAAGCGTATTGTATTCGCTAGATTCTTATCGATAAGTCTTTTCTTAGCGGCTTCCGTTTGAAAATTGTCTTAATGTGAGGGAATACAGTTTTGTTTCTGTATTTTGTTGCCTACAGATAAAACATGGTTGCGCTATTTAGATAAGAGGTACCTTCGTAGCTAACAAAATGATATGGCAAGCGTTTTATCTAATATATAAAATTCTCGTGTCGCGGTGTTTGTGGTTAAACTCCTCCGAAATGGCTTTCCCGATTCTCATGAAATTTTGTGTGCATATTGGGTAAGTCTGAGAATCGGACAACATCTATTTTTCGTCCTCCTAAATGTTAAGGGTAATCCACACCTATTTCTTTTTTGCAGTTTTAGATATATTTTTTTTATTTTTTTATGATACATCATACAAAAATACATACAACCCTCAATTTTCATTCTTCTACCACTAACCCCTATTTTTTTATGGCGGTACGAAGTTCGCTGGGTCAGCTAGTCTTATATATAAAATTCTCGTGTCACAATGTTAGTTACCATACTCCTCCGAAACGGCCTGACCGATTTTTATGAAATTTTATAAGCATATTCCGTGGGTCTGAGAATCGGTTACCATCTATTTTTCATATCCTTAAGTGATAATGGTTGTCCACCTGTAACGTAGTGTTCTGAAACCTAAAATGCGGCTTCGCGCCAAAATTCAAACTATTGGGTATTTATTGTAACGTAGTGTTCTCATATGGGTTAAGACGAATGTTATCCAAGGAAATTGATAGAACACGCCAAAACAGTACAATCTATAACAAACATCATTTTCGACCAAATTGGCGTATGAGCGATTTTGTCTTTCCACTGTCGATATATTTATTTACCATCAAGCTATTTGAATTTTTGCCACAGTGATACACTGGATCGAAATGGTTAAACTGAACTGTCTGTACATAGAAAAGACTGCTAATAAATTATTATCTTTGGTAATATTAAAACCAAAAGAAAATATAACTAGAAAAATATCCACGCAGACCAGGCAGCAGACGGGACTCGAACCCGCACCCTTCGCTATCCGGGCAAATGCACTGACCAATTATGCTACCGCGGCTCTGACGGCCGCGTCGAAATTCCTCTAGCCATTCTTAAGCTGCAAAGCAACGCCATCTCTTCGCATTGTAGGTAACCCACAATATCAAATGAATACTTTTACAAGTATTAAACATTTTAAAGAAGAAATTGCAATTATAGTTATGATTTTTATTTTTTGCAAAAAATGAGATTGATGCTTTAGATTTAAATATCAAGCAGTTACATGCTTAAAAAATAAAAATCATAATATTTATACCGGTATTAATATTACTAAACATAATACTCTGAATATAGAGACGACAGTCGACAAGTAATCATGCCTGTCATAACTTATTAAGTCATCAAAAGGATCTTAAACCAAGCTAAGTCTAATCTATAAATAACTCAAACGTTTAGCTATCAAATAAATCATGGCGCAGTAGTTTTTGCGGAACAGAAAGCAAATAATTATTTACGGAGCCAATTAATTATGAACAGGAAATATATCAAAGGGAACAACAACCAATGTTTCTTATAGCTAGTACATATATTGCTGTCACTTTTAAGAATATATTTTGCAAATTATTTTGGAATGTGAATGTTACGCTACTATAATTACGCATTTGTTTTGAGTTAACATCTGAAAGGAGCAATGATAGTTCAGAACAACCCATGAACAATTTCCGTACTAATTACCTTATTTTGCGTTTTTAAACGTTTAAATACTGTAGTAATATAAGTTATTTACGGGATTGTTACCATGTACCTTACATGATCACGGAATAACTGTGTTACTCTGCAACAGTGCCGAAATATCGGAAACTCCCTAAAAACAAGGTACATGGTAACAATCCCGTAAATAACTTATATTACTATAATGTTAGTGACCATGAAAGTTTAAAACAATATATTTAAATACTGTGTAAGTAGGTAATACGCGGGAAAGCCCAAAGCTCATTATTTGTAAATTATAAGCCCCAGTTTTACTAACTTAATAGTTTATTGATTTTATTTAAAATACTTATGAATAGTCTGTTTGTACTTATCGTATAAAATATCTGCCAAAGAGTTTCAAATCAGAGCATGCAGACTCAAGTAGGTACGGGAAAAGCCTATAGCTCTAAGCGAGTCATTGTTTGTAAAATTTATGCCAGAGCTTTACTTAGAAACTAGTTTATATAATAAAACTAGTTTTTACGGGTTAATGCACGAAACTTTATTTATTTATGACATTTCGTAGCCTTTACAGGCTTCGT